ACCCCCATTGCATGGACAGATTGTAAGGCAGTAGGAAGTGGGTTCCAGGGGACCCACACACTGGTCAGCAGATACAGGGATCTGCAGATAGTTTCTGAATCACAGTTCAATTAAATCTCAAAACTGCAAAAAGTACAGCCCCACATCCACAGTCCAGCACCAGAATTCAACAAAGCCAGAGGAAGAACATAAGGAAAAATAGGAGATTGAGCAAACAGAAGTAAAATCTACTTCCCCCATCCTTGAACAACAGAATTAAAGAAGAGGTTAAAGAAAAAAGGAGGTGGAAACTCTACACAAAGGAAGAAAAACCAAAGGAAGAATATGGGACTCACACAAACCCCTGGGAGGTCAGCCTCTGAGAATACGGACTTCGGAATGTAAACAATGAAGATTCCCCAGAATGACTGGTCTCAAACCACAAACCCAGATATCAAGACATTAATAGAGAGAATAAATAGAATTGAGGAGCGACAAGAGGAAAGAATGAAGGGGTTGAGAACTGAGATAACAGCAATAAAGAGCACAGTGAATGAAACATATAATGAACTGATAAGCATGGAAAGCAGAATTAACCAAGCAGAAGAATCTCAGAGCTTGTGGACAAAAATAAGGAATTAACCCAAACTGTTAAAAACATAGAAAAGAAGCTTAAAAAAACAGAACAAAACCTCTGAGAGATGAGCGATTATTTCAAGAAGCTGAACTTATGATTAATTAGACTTCCAGAGGCAAACAGAAAGATAGAGACCACCCTGAAATAAACATTCCATGAAATTATCAAAGAAAACTTCCCTTATCTCATCAGTGATGTGACCATTCAAACACAAGAAATTCAGAGAACCCCAGCAAGACAACAAATGAGAAGACCAACTCCTAGACACAGTAATTAACCCAGAAATCAAAACAGAGATTAAAAGATACCTGGAAACAAACGAAAATGAAGAAACATCCTACCAAAATCTCTGGGATGCCATGAAAACAACACTAAGAGGGGAATTAATATCTCTACGAACACACATGAAGAAAATGGAAAGATCACAAGTTAATAGCCCAACAAGTCACCTAAGGGAGCTAGAAAAACAAGACACCAAAACCCTAACTTCAGCAGAAGAATCCAAAAGTCCAAATTCGGGACATGGAAGACAAAAAGATAATACAAAAAAATCAATGAAACAAAAAGCTGGTTTTTTGAAAGGATAAACAAGGTTGATGGACCCCTTCCTAGACTGACCAAGAAAAAGAGAGAAAAACCCAAATAAACACAATCAGAAATGCAAAAGATCAAGTCACAACTGACCCTGAGGAAATACAAAGATTGTAAGAGACTACTATGTATACCTGTATGGAAACAAACTCAGAAAGTTAAATGAAATGGAGGACTTTCTTATATCACACAACCTCCCTAGGTTGAAACAAGAAGAAATAGAGACCCTAAATAGACCAATAACAATCCAGGAAATTGACTACATCATAAGAAAACTACCTTTAAAAAAAAGCTCTGGACCAGATGGCTTTCCAGCAGAATTCTACAAAACATACAAGGAAGAACAGATACCAATCCTATTAAAAGTATTCCAGGCAATTGAGAAGGTTGGAACTCTCCCCAATTCATTCTATGAAGCTAACATCACATTGACATGCAAACTAGGTAAAGATCCAACAAAGAAAGAGAACTAAAGTCAATATCCTTGATGAACATAAGTGCTAAAATTCTCAACAAGATCCTGCAAACTGAATCCAATAATGCATCTCAAAAATCATCCACCATGATCAAGTAGGCTTCATTCCCGGGACTGAATTGTGAATTACATTCACAAGACCATAAATGTAATTAAATATATCAGAAGGCATACAAACAAAAACCACATAATTACCTCATTAGATGCAGAAAAAGCTTTTGATAGAAGCCAGCACCCCTTCTTGATAAAAGCCCTCGAACATCTAGGCTTAGAACATCTAGGCTTCAAAATAGTAAGAGTCATATACGAGAAACCCACAGCCAGCATAGACAGAAATTAGTTAGACAGACAGAAATTAGAACCATTTCCCCTGATAACCAGAACAAGACCAGGATGTCCATTCTCACCCCTCCTTTTCAACTTAGTTTTGGAAGTCCTAGCTAGACCAATCAGACAAGGGAAGGAGATCAGTGGTATCCAAAAAGAAAAAGAGGAAGTCAAGCTATCCCTCTTTGTAGATATGATTCTATACCTCGAAAACCCAAGAGACACTGTCAAAAACCTACTTGCACTCATAAAGGACTTTGGTAAAGTTTTAGGGTATAAAGTAAATGTGCAAAAGACAGTCAAATTTTCATATGCCAACAATAAACAAACAGAAACCCAAATAAAAAGCACAATTCCATTCACAATAGCCATACACACACACACACACACACACACACACACACACACACACACACACACACACACACACACACAAAATGAAATACCTTGGCATCTTCCTAAACAGAGACGTGAAAGACTTTTACAATGAAAACTATAAAACATTACTCAAAGAAATCAAAGATGACACAAACAAATGGAAAAATATCCTATGCTCATGGATTGGAAGAATCAACATTATTAAGATGTCCATCCTACCCAAGGCAAACTACAGATTTAATGCAATACCCATTAAATTACCAGCAGCATTCTTCTCAGTCCTGGAAATGACAATACAGGAATTCTTATGGAAACATAAATGACCATGAATAGCCAAAGCAATCCTCAGCAAAGAACAAAACAAAACAAAACAAAAAATAAAAAACAAAGCAGGATGTATCACACTCCCAGACTTTAAGTTTTATTATAAAGCTACAATAATCAAAACAGCCTGGTGGTACTAGTACAAGAACAAGCATACAGACCAATGGAACAGGATAGAGATTCCAGAATCAAAATCTCAATTTCTCAACCAACTCATCTTCGACAAAGCCTCCACTACCAACCACTGGGGAGAGGAGAACCTATTCAGTAAATGGTGCTGGGAAAACTGGCTGACAACGTGCAGAAGATTAAAACAAGACCCCTACCTATCACCATACAGAAAAATCAACTCTAAATGAATCAAAGACCTAAACATAAAACCTCAAACTATAAGAATTTTAGAAAATGTAGGAGACACCCTTATGGAAATTGGAACTGGCAACCGATTCCTGATCAAACCCTAAGTGCCCATGCCATAAGAGATAAGACAGACAAGTGGGACCTCATCAAACCGACAAGTTACTGCAAAGCCAAAGAGACTAACATGAGGGCAGGGAGACAGCCCACAGACTAGGAAAAAATATTTGCCAACTGTATATCTGACAAGACTCCTAACATCTAGGATCTACAAGGAACTCAAATGCGCTGAAAAGAAAAAAACAAACAGCTCAATTACAAAGTGGGCAAAAGATATGAATTGATACTTCTCAAAAGAAGAAATAACAGGCAGCCAACAAGTGCATTAAAAAAATGCTCACTAGTAATCAAAGAAATGCAAACTCAAACCACACTGAGATACCACGTAAATCCAGTCAGGATGGTTATCATCAATAACTTAAAAAACAACAGATGCTGGAGAGGATATCGGGAAAAGGGAACACTTCTACATGTTGGTGGGAGTGTAACTAGTACAACCTCTGTGGAAACCAGTTTGGCTATTCCTAAAAATCAACCTTCAATATGACCCCGCAATCCTCTGAGGATATACCCAGAGGATCTCAAATCACATTATGAAAAAGACACCTGCACATGCATGCTTATTGCAGCATTATTCACTGTAGCAAAACCATGGAATCAACTGTGCTGTCCATAGAAAGAGGACTGAATTTAAAAAATGTGGTACATATACACAATGGAATTTTATGCAGTCATAAAGAAGAACAAAATTATGAACTTCTCAGCAACTTTGATAGTCTTAGAGTGTAAAATACTGAGTGATCTATCACAGAAACAAAGAACTGAGTACCACATGTTTCCACTCATAAGCGGACGTTGAACAATAATCACAATACTATAAGAAAGGCATTGGCAGTAGTGGGAAACTGCCAGGGGCAGGGAGGGGTGGGATTGGCAGTAGTGGGAAACTGCTGGTAGGGGAGGGCACACCTCATCAACAAAGGTACCTTCCTGCACAATGAACATCTGTATAGCTGACTCTGAATTGCACCCCACATATTTAAAATTAAAAATTTTAAAAAAAGAAAAATTTATTTTCTTTTTCTTTTTTTTTTTTGAGTTGGAGTCTCACTCTGTTGCCTAGACTGGAGTACAGTGGCCGCTCCCGGCCACTGCAGCCTCGACCTGCTGGGCTCCAGCGATCCTTCCGCCTCAGCTTTCCAAGGAGCTGGAACTACAGGCGCGTGCTACCAC